CCTGCTGAAGGCTGCTGACAGTTAATCAAGATGTAAATGTGTACGTATTTATTCAGACTGGAGAGTCAAAGGCCCCTTCAGTAGCTTTCCAGGCAAAATTCAGGGTGCTGGTTTTGACCTGTAAGGCTCTAAATGGCCTGGGCTCTACCTACCAGAGGAGCCGTCTTCTACCTTATACTCTGCCATGATTCCTAAGGTCAACCAAGAGCGTCCTCCTGCTGGTACCATTAATGCATCAAGTTTGGTTGGCAAAAACATTCAGGAGGTTGTTCTCAGTACTTGCCCCTTAGCTGTGGAATTTCCTCCCTCATGAGACCTGCCAGAGCCTGGAAACACTGTTTAGCCTTCCTATTTGAGCAGGTGTTTAGCAAACAAGGCTGAGCTGTGATGCTGTTTAGGAGAGTTTTTCTCTATAGTTTATTTGAGTGCTGTGCTGGCTGTCATAAGTTACTTCGTTTTCCTGTTTTGTTCTTTTGTTTGCTTATTTTAAAAGTTATTTTGCTGCCCTTGGCAAGCCTCCCTGAACCGTCATCAGAAAGGCAGTATATAAACTGAACAAATTAATAGTGATGATGCATCACTCCTTTGTGTCCTGTTGGCTGCAGAAACTGGCATACCTTAAATCATGTTGGCCCAGTGAGCTGCCAAACTCAAGTGGACCTCTGAAAAGTAAAATATTGAGATATGAAAAGTAAAACACTGAGGTCCACCTGACCTTTTACGGTTAATATGAAAAATATTTGTCTACAATTTGGTTACTTACACTTCTCTCATTCTAAGGTTTCTAGATCACCTGTGATTTGCAGAGCACTTGCTAGTAATCCACAGTGGGTAGCTGATTATAGATCTCCAACTGCTGTAAAAAGCCTTAGACAAAACTGAAAATGCATTCTTAACACTTTTCAAAACAACTAATGTGTTTGCCCAAAGGGAAGGGAAAGCGGTCTGCAGTATTCTGAATGGCAGACTGTTTATGATAGAAAATCCTTCAAATCCAATCTAGATCAAGAAAATATCTATTGAAATGGAATTGTTGAACTAAGAGCAAAAGTTACTTTGATACAGAGAAATCATTATGCTCCTTGGTGATTACATAGTTGAATTGATAGTGACAAACAGAAAACCGCTACAGTATCTGATCTGATCTATTTTTTTTTATTTAGATTTTAGAAATAATCAGGGTTATACTAAAACTGTATGAACAGTGGAAGAATTTTGATGAGAGGAAAGAAATGGCTACTATTCTTAATAAGATGCCTAAACCAAAACCACCTCCAAACAGGTACTAGATATTTTTTTTATTCTCTTTGTGCTGAAAAATACATTTAACTAGACTTTGCTCTTAGAAAAAAAATGAGGAAAATTTACAGTAAACTCTAGTTGATGGATAAAGGGAGGAGGGACTCACAGCACGGAATCAGAACAGCGGTGAATGAAATCCTAATAGACAAATATTCAAATAAGTAAATTAAATAGTTTACTGTACTTCTGAGGGTACAGTATGTATTTTTACAGTATAGATGTTTCCATGAGAGAGACTGCCTTGTACACTAATTAAAAAGTCAGGTACAAGGGTAACCTCTGCATCAGGGTTGATAAGAGAATGTTTGTATCTTTTTAACAATTTAAAATGTCTTACGTAGGGAGTTAATCGAATTGAAGACGCTTTTACTAAATTAAGCAATAAAAGGAATTTTGGTACCATAGTACACCATAGCTGGGAAGACCTGGCTCTTCAAACTGTGCAGGTATAATTCCATGCATAATTTGCCTGCGCAGTTATTTATGATTGGACGTGCAGATATGATGTGAACTAAGTCATGGTTTCTGTAGGTGTAAATTGAATTGGCAGCTGGACACGAGTTTCTTACATGTGCAGTTTTGAATAGCAGTTTCTTCACTGTGTCTGTTTCACTTTCTGGTGGTATTATTTTATTTAGACATGTATAACTAATAAATTTACAAATAACTAATAAATTACCAAATAACTAATAAATTTACATTTTATTTTTATAGAAGAAAGTTAGGGAGGTAAAAGAAGGGCTTTGAATTTTTGTTTGTAATTAAAGTTGTTTCTCTTGAAGAGGTTTTTAACTGCCATTTTATTGAAAAGTGGTTGTTTTTAATAACGTTTATGATGTAACCAATATTAGATATATCTGCTGTCTGAAAATGTGTGTCTCCATCCAAACAGTGAAGGCGAACAGGGTCCAAATGGAAGTCAGAACTCTAGCTATAGCCAGTCTTAAGACATTCCAAAGAATTTTATTATGGACCACATTGGATCAAGACATATTGGGATCTTTCCTGCGTTCATGAAGTGGACAGAAGGTTTCAATAACATCTTTAACAAAGAAGCTTGAAGAATGAATAGCTTGTTTCTGTCAAGCATATTGAAAACTTTTCCTTTAAAGATTGCGTCATCCCTTTGAAGCCAGAGCAGATATATTAAGATTTCTTAATTTAAGGAATAAAACTCTGAACAGAGCTGCAAAACATTAATGCTATTCATTTCAATATGACTAGTTTTAATTATTGGTTTTGTTTGCTTTGTGAAAAATATAGCTTCCCATTAAAGTGACGTGTTTTTTTTAAAGCTACAGTAACATGAAGCCTGAGTGTAACTGTATTAAGGACCCCATGTCCTTTTCGTTGTGTATGTCACTGAAGGATGGCATGCTATATACTAATTTTTTTCATTACGTAGTTTGTTTTATAGGTAATGGGTACTGCAAAAAGCAAAAGTGTTATCCTTCAGAAACAACTGACAGAAGTCTGCACAGAATGTTACTTGTTTTAGTGAAAACAGGAGAGCAATTAAATTCCTCTTCTAGACTAAAGAGATGCCGTTTTAATCAGTACATGTAGCTTGGACATTTTTGCAATGAAACTTAGTAGCCCAGCTTACCAGAAAAGTGCAATATGTATAGTGTACATTGTGGACATTTGGGGGATAAAAAGTTTTCTTAACCATTTCAAATATTAGGACATTTTTTAAAGTACTTACATGAATGATTTGCAAGTAAATGTACTGTACAATCCAATTAAGTATTTTAAAAGCAAAGAATCAAAATCAAATCTACATAAGACTATTTTTATTGTAGGGGGTTTTTTTGTACAAAAGGTATACACTGTTAGTCTGCCTTCACTGTTAGTGTAAATTTGTATGATTCATTAGAAAGTTTGTGGTTTTGTTTTTGAGAGGAACAAGCTTGCAGTGAGCTTCATGCTGGTGGTGTGTTTTATGTTTATATTTTGTTTTACTGCAGTGGGATTCTTTGGTTACCTGTTTGCTGGAGAGTTTCCTTCATCAAAGGGCCATATCTTGCATTCCTTACTCAGGCAGAATGCCCACTTAAGTCAGGACTTGGCTGAAAGATTTTAGACTTACAGGTTTATTGATTTTTAAGGGTTTTTTTCCCCCAAAGAATTTATGTACAATTTCATTATCAAATAAAAATGCCAATTTGCCCGAGTATGAAATTGAACAATAAATGGAAGTCCAGGAACTTGTTTTGTCCAATATCTTTTTCCAAGGTGCAGTTACATCGTTACACATTAATACTGCTCTAAAACAGAGAAGAAAATGCTTGAGATGCCTCATTCCATGGTGCTTATTTAGTTCTAAATGTTGACCATTTCAAAGAGAGATGTTTGCAGTGATTTGTCATTCAACAAAACGTTACCAAAGTGTGTATTGTGGGGGGGGAGAGGGGTTTGCAATCAATTAAGCTCCTTGAACTTATTTCCATTGGAATTATTTTTATAAAGCATATTAGACACAAATTATGAAACCCCCTTGACAATGAAAAAGACAAATGTACGTATTCTACCCTTTGCTATACTTATTCTGCTTTACCTTTGTTGTTTTCTGTTGCAATTTGACCCATACATTGATTGACAGAGGAGTAGTAAAGTCACTCTTCTGCTCCTTGCAGTTGGCTTTTTCCTTTTGTCCCATTGCAATGTGGACTTGATAGATAGGAATAGATCAATGCAAACTGACAACCGTATGCAGTTCTTAAACACTTACTCCTGAACTAAAACATTTTTGAAAGTAATAGTGCTCTCACTATAGAATAAATGCCTAGGACTTTTTAGGTTAAAGAAAAGATGACTGAGAGGGCAGTAAGATAGTGAAGAGTGGTATGGAAAAAGCAAAGAAGTATTTGCTGTTTCTCCTAATGATAAAATTAGGAGATATATGATGAAATTCTTAGATAGCGGGTTTTAAATGAGCAAGAGGAATGCCTCCCCCTCCCTGCCACCTCATCATGTAATTAAATTGTGGAGCTCATTGACATAAAATGTTGTAGAAGCTCATAAAATGTTGTAGAAGCTCAAAAGGAGGCTGGACATATTCATGGAGGGTAGACTTATCAGTGGGTTTTAAACATACGGTAGTTAGGACTTCCTAGGTCTCTGCATGCTGGAGTCTGTTTAAAAGATGGGGGGAAGGAGCGAGGGCAGGAGACAAATCAGTCTGATAAGCCCTACTTAAATACTGTTTCCCTTAGTATGCACACTGCCACTATGAGATAAAGATGGATGGACCTGTGATCTGACCCAGTGTTTGGAACATGTTCTATAACATTTGTTTTTTCCATGTAAATAGTTTAGAGGTATAGTCTCACCACTGCAAAAGTTCATTCACTCCATTAGACAAGTATCAATTCTGTATGCAGTCAATGACTAATCCTCTAACTGAAGTGTTGACAAGACCCTCTGCAGTGGCAATTAAAGGGAAATGGTGAAAAATAAATCCCCTGCCTGAAAGGATTTATTTTGGAAGGGTAGAAATGGGAAAAGAAGAGTTGTTTCACCACTTGCAGCCCTTTCCTTTACCTTCTCTAGCTATATGTCTACCCCATTTCAGATTACTTTTTAAAGGACCTGTCCCTAACTGACTTGGTACTTCAAAATTTAGATTTGAAAAAAACCCCAAACCCACTAGAAGAGGGCTTATATTAAATAGCTTCTGTTCAATCCTCAATAAAAGTCTGCAAAAGTAAACAATTTCATAGTGTGATCTTATCTTGAGGTCTAGGTCAAAAGAACTTCTAAGATAAGGCACATCAGCTTCCCTTCTTTAATATGTGGGGATGGCTAGCTTGGTTTCCCTGTAAATCTTGCAGAAAGGGATGATCTGCTAAATTATAGGAAGACCCAAGCTATGTGCAGATCAATCTGTTAACTTTCACTGAATGTATAATTTAGTTAAGACTGGGTTAATACAAACAAAAAGGCCTGCCCCTGCAACCTAAGTAGTAAGATACCACACCTGGGAAACAAGAAGATGGGGTCAGGAATTAATCCAAATCTGTTTTTTGGATCTTGCACCTGATTACTGAGCAAATTAAAAGGGGTGAGCTATTTTGTTGGAAAAACAGATGGAGTAAAACTAAGGTTTCACCATTATGCCTATCATATCTATTGTCTGTTGGGAACTTCTGCGGCATTGGGGCTTTCACTCTGCTGATCCTAAAGGGTGTCCTGACTAGACACAGCCAGAGGGGCTGACCAAACGATGTCCCTCCACCAAGCTTGCTTAAGTTCTTATCACCACTTGAAATATGAGATATGGGTTCCTGCACTTACCCGTCCTTCTCTTTCTCAGTATGGTTTCTTGCTTTTTTTTCTGTTTATGTCTGGTTTAATCTGATCAAGATTGTTGTGAAAGCAACACAGCTCTAAGCTTGGTCACTAATAGCCTGATGGTGGTACCAGCTTGCCAGGCCTCAAAGTGACTGATAAAACCATGCTAGGCTTTGGTTTCTCCAGCAGCAAAATAATAGCAGCTGCATTTCCTGTCTTTGCTGTTCTTTGCTCTCATTTCCACTTTTGTAGGTGTACTCTTTTGACCTTAAGGAAATGAGATTGAATTCCAATACCACTTCCAGCCTCATTTTGAGTATTTTTCTCTCTTCCCCAAAAAGGATAGTAACCTAAGACAGCGTTTAAAAAACTGTCAGATAACCAGTGGTGCTGTGTAAAATGCATATGCACTCTCCACTGCAAAGGCTGGAATACAAGGACTCTCCTCCCCCAGGATGTCATAATTAACAAACTACTCTCCTACCTAGTGAGAGGTTTGGGTTTGAGGCTCCTCAGCCAGGGAAGTGAGATGTTTCATGAGTTGGGTGAGTACTTCAACCACCAGGGCATCATAAAAAGGGATTACCTAACCTTCACTAAGCACTGTGTTTTGTATAAAGCCAGGTCTATTTGTTGTGCTGAGAACAACTGGAGCCATAACCTAGGTCCCAGCATGCTCAGTCCTGTGAAGACTGAGGTACTTCTACTTTTGCATCTGCAAAGAACTTCAAATACTAAGGGAACTTTAAGATAAAAAAAATCTGGTGCTACAGCTGTTCGATAGGAGCTGAAGGGAGATTCAGTTTTCTGGTTTACGACGTTATACTTTTCTGATAGAGCCCCAGCCAGCACTTTCCTCACAATTAACAAGGGGCAGGGCTGTTGACTTCTATCATACAGAGAAGACTTTTTCTTTTCCTCCCATTCCTCCCTCTGTAGGTAGAAAGAATTAAGAGAACCGGTTGCTAACTGAGGGGCCTATGATTTGTGCATTGTGCTGTTAAAACAGCAAGAAGTGACCTTGCAATCGCTACATAGTAAGAGTCCACAAAAAGTTAAGATATCCTGTACTAATACATTGTTAATTCACTCCCTTGCCAACTTTACAGTTTATGTTCCCAAATTGACATACTCTAGAATGAAATATATATTGCTGCATGAATCAAGAAGCCCTTCCTCTTCAGTTCAATAATTTAGACTCCCCTCTGGGAGTGAAAAAAAAAGTTTCCTCCATGAGCATGTATCTTTTGCACCCCACTTTTCAAATCTGTGTGTCAAGTATCAATGTAGGGACTCTGGCATGAAACATGCCTGTCGTACTGATGAAAGGAGCATCCAACTAAAATTGTAATTATTTTTGATAAGCTAGTACAGTCTCTATGATGGTTATCAGAAGTCCAAATACAAAAGGCAAGAGGACATCTTTCCTAGTTAACTGACTGCCAAAAGCAGAAGCCTAAAGGGCCAGTACTGCACTCATCTGTCCTGCTCTGGCTCTAGCAGTAGGGAGGACAGAGCAGCATCAGTTTGCTGCTGGGGGAGATGTCACCTCCATTTTCTACCACTACTGTCTATGTTGAGCAGCCAAAACACTCCACTGGTCTTCAGCAGCAAGAGAAGGTGGTGACATTTCCCACAGAAGCATTGAGCCAGTTGCTGCTCTTACAGCTAGCACTGTCAGGTAGTTCTCTGCCTAGGCCCCCACCCAGCACTAGAACTGGAACAGGGAAGAGACAGGGGAGTAGGAGGGCAAGGCAGGGGGAGTGAGGCATCTAACAGCTCTATTCCAGCCCCCACTTCCTGCCTTTACATAGTGCCTGAGGCTCATGTCCTGCTCACTCACCTCTCCTTAAGCTACTGGCCAAGAGCATTCATTGGTGGTTGTAGCTTTTAACTATACCAGTGATTCTCAACAAGGGTGGCATGGCACCCTGAGGTGCTAAGATATCCTTTTAAGTGGCATAGAGTGCTGTGCAATATTAGCACTGTTAGGTGTGCAAACACCTAGAGACAATTCACAAGATCGACCCAGATATTTCAAATAGGAATCCACACTGTAAAAGGCATTCTACCCTTTGTGGTCTTTCTGAGTTCTTTGCAACAGAAGAATGGCTTTATTAGAGTTCACTTGTCTTTTGACTACAGAAAAGAGCTGGCATTTTATGGCTGGTGTCTTGAGTCTAACAAGCTGAGAACCACTGAACTATACAATGCAGTATAAGAGAAGACATATAAAAGCTTAAACCCCATCTTCCATGGAAACTCAGTGGGGATTTCTGTATATCACCCTTTGTTTTCATGAGAAATCCCTCCCTAAATCAACACCTTTACCATCAATGAGCTTATACCCCTAGGTTTTTTTCTGATATTTCTCTTTTATAGAAGCCCTATGCCTTGTCTGCATTCTGTAGGATTTTCTGTTAAAAATCTATGCGCATGTTCTTTAAAACATTCTTGAAATATTTCACAATTCCTTCAGCCAGGTATCACAATTATCCCTGGTATACAGAAAAAGAAAGACCTGTACTTATGTTCTCGCTCCCCACTTAGAAATACTCAGCTTATTAAGGAGCACTGCTCTTTTCTTGCACCTCTGACAGAACAGAAATGTTCTTAAAAACTACTGTATGTAGGCTAGTACCAGGTTGTTCTGAGAACTGCTTTTCCAACTCCAATAAATTATATGGAATCTGACATGCTTCTAGATATATTGTTCTTCAGAGAGGACAAAGTAAGCAGTACTACATGTCACCATTAGTTTAATACTGTAGTTATGATCTCATGTGTTATGGTGCAATATGAGAAGAAGAAACACACCTCTCAGTGTACAACATGTTCAAGTTTTGTGTTAGTCTTTACCTTTAAGCTCTCTTTACATAGTAGTTCCATTGAACATATGACTAAAGGTGAAGACTAGTCCCCTACAAAATCAACAGCTTCTTCTAACAGCATCTATATACATGATAATTTTTATATACAAAACAGAACAGATTCCCTTTCACAATATATTTTCCCAAATTCACTGCCTATTAAAACAAACATTAATGATTTTCTAGAGTTCTTAGAAGGCTAGAGAACAAGGTAGATATACATCTTCATTAGTTTTTCTCTAAAGGTTCATATTCTCTCCACTCCTCAAAGCCGCCTGCGTAATGCTGAACTCTGAAAACATACAGAGGATAGGCAGTATTATGGAAGTGCTACTGATGATAATCTTGTGAAAAAGGTTTGGCTAAAGGAAAGAATAAACAGAAAAACACAAACCAAAAACACAAAACATCATATGTAAAACTGCATTACACCAAATGACAGAATTCATTATTACAAGGTAGACTCTAACTGCTCCTGGTGTCAAGGAGCAAAATGCAAGGAATGAAATGGTAGTAAACCTCAACTACTTGATCAAGGGTTGAAGTTGGGGAGGAGAGGTTCAATACTTGATCAATTAGTTGCTCACTCACACATCCCAGATGTTAGGTTTAGGAGAGGATTAGATAGCATCTA